TTCAGAGGCCGTGGAGTGGTTTCGGAAGTTTGGGGTCTGACAATTGAGGGATGAAGTCACGAAAACAAAGCATTGCATAACAACGCAAGAGTGTGTTGCTGCAGGTGCCACGGGTGTCGGAAGCTTCAGACATGGGGTGTTGTGCCCGCTTTAGGGCCCCAAGAAAATTTTGAAATTTTGATGTGATTTTTTGCATTTTGAGTGACTTATTAACATATACAGAAATGCCGCCAAGATCAACCTGGCACACTATAATGTTATTACAATAAGAGGAAATCAAGTTTGCATAGTATAAGAAATTTGCTGGATGACCGTACCGTGACTGCAACAAAATCTCCTGATTGGTATACACAGTGACACATTTCTTTCGACAAAACGAGGATTTTTCTTTTTCTTCTAAAGAACGTAATCATGAATGTGTCAGGAAATAACTGATAGATTCAAAGAACCACAGAAACATACTTTCCAGTGATGTATAACACAACTGGAATTTTGTATTAAGACCCGCATTTTGACATTTTAAATACTTGCCATCACCCCCCCCCCCCCCCCACCTTTCTCTCTTACACACTCTATCTCTATATTTTCAAGTTATGAAAATATGAACGCGTCAGAACATTATTTGCTTATTTGAAAAGAGCAATAAAAGTGCTTACCAGAGATACGTAACATGGAACATCGTATTAAGACCCGTATGGATACTTTAAATACCTCCACCCCTGTCATTTAATAGAGTTTCTTACCACCCAACGTTTTTCACAGTATGCAAATACGAAGGTGCCAGAAAATTATATACATATTTACAAAGAAAAATGAACATGCTTTTCACTGATATGTAACATAATATCTGGAAGTTTGTATTAAGACCGGTATTTTGATATTGCATACCCCACCCCCTTCTTGTATTCATGGTAATAGAGTTTAGTACCATCCAAATTTGATCATTTGTCAAGGTTAAGTAAATTTCTTATAGTGTGCCAGGTTGATTTTCTCTAGTGGTGTGGTAAATATCTTTATAGTGTGTTGGCATATAGTGTGCCAGGTTGATCTCTGCGCCGTTTCCGTATATGTTAATAAGTCATGTGATACCCTAGATTTGCATAATATCAAAGATAGCGCTGTGCGTAAGAATTCTATGCAGAAAGCGTGAAGCACAAATGACATTTGTCATTTGGCACATTACTTTTGAAGTTTAACATTTTATTTTGCCCTTAGAGGTATTTTGACTTATCATTACCGATATTACTATTAGTAAGAATGTAACAATAACAACATATTTTCCTGAATTAAAATGTGCAGTATTTTCTCAGTCGCGGGACTGGCCATTTTCCAAAATGGCGGTGCATTTTAACTTTTTTCACGATATTGTAATCATAGGCGTACGGGCTCAATGACAACTAGGGGGGGCAGAACGCAATATGCCTGAAAAAAATTTCGGGTTTACAGAGAGCGCCGGTCTTCCTTGAGAGGCGAAGAGAGCGGAGCTTACGTTGTCCCCCCCCCTCAGGTGGCTGACTCGAATTCCAATCAATCGTTTACAGTCCACGAAGACGGGACCGTTGGGAGAAAAATTTTGAAAATTTAACTGCCACAAACGCGTTTTCCTGCTATTCCAGCCTGTGAATACAGCAACTTCAATTTGGTCCAATATAGTCTATCTGGCTGACCGGAATTCCAAACAACCAATTAATCGTCGCTGGGTTCGAGGGTATACCCTCCTTGAGAAAATTTTGAAAATTTAACCATCACAAATGCGTTTTCTGCTATTCTAGCACGTGTAAATTAGTGTTTTATTAGATTTCGGGCACTTTATTTTGCCAAGTAGATGAAATAAATTTTTGTTTTCACTTTACCCGTCTGCCCGAAAAGTCAGCTTGCCCAAAAGTTAGGGGGGCAGCTGCCCCGCCTGCCCCCCTGGCTCATACGCCTATGATTGTAATAGAAGCACTTCGTATAGGCCCCCTAGTGTGTTTTATAGGGTTTTCCGGGACAACAAAAATAAATACAATATAATGTTTCACTTTCGAAAATCCAGCGATACCCTTCCATAAATAGTGAGTATTATACCTTATACAATAACATAGACCGGGTTTTTTTGGGTTTTTTTTTTGTTTTTGGGGGGTTTTTTTTAAAAAAATTTGCGCCCCCCCCCCACACACACACACAAAGGTTCCGCATCCCACGATATTGTAGCTCCAAATTCATATAAATTATCAAAATGTTTACTGACAGTATTATTTTCATTGTAATATTATCCATTTGTATAAATCATATATTTCATGACTGAAAAGCCAGATGTCAATAGATTTATTTGTGTGTATTTTAACCTAATGGTAACTTATCAACAGCTGTGTCAGGTCTCATATTAATTTTTGTTGTATCCTTGTATATATGGGAAAAATGGTTTATAGATTTGTGAAATAGTATAATCTTTAGATAACTGCATATGATGTACATGTATATATAGATTGTCATCAACCCAGATCTTTAAATTTGGACGAGATTATACATAGTTATTTGTAGAGTTCTTGTGTTGGTGTCATTTATCTCATAATGACTGAATTAAAGGGTTTGTCCCGGATATTTTTTAGTGAATGAAATTGGTTAATTCAGTGTGGAAAACACATAGAAACCTTTATCCTAGTCCTATGATACTTTACTTTAGAAGAAATGCAAACTAGTAGTTTTCTTTTTTGTTGGCAATAATTAAGTTACCCAAACCCCACCATTCTCAAGTGCCTCTATTGCCATGTCTACAAACTATGTAAGTGATGGTCTCAATTATAATTATACAATTGTCTGAATAGCTATGATTACATGATAGTACAATCATGCCATAGTTATAGTAAATGTTCATCATGATTAGTATTACCACATCACTCATACAACTGAACAATAGAATTCCTTAAATGAGTTGAATAACCCTGTTAAGTAAATCTAGCAATCATTTTCGATTAGCTTAATATTTTGGGCTGAAACTTTTAGCGTTTCAGGCTATGTCTCTATATTTTGGCATTTTATTTGTTAAATGCAGGACGGAGGGGCTGACAAGGAAAGCTGTCTAGTCGTTCGGATGGGACAAAAAACTGAGGTCCCGTGTACACATTGGCGTGCACGTAAAAGATCCCTTGACAGTTGGAATTCGATTTTAGAGTAGGACGTAGTGCCGCTGTCCGGGCAAAATTTCCCTCATAGCACACTGTATGGTGTATGCCCGTCTTCATTAGCCCAGTTCGGAGAAAAACAGTAGGACGTTAAACCTCATTTCATTTCATTTCATTTCATTTCATTTGTTAAACTGGGACTGACCCTTTAAAACAACTCTACCTAACGGAAAAGATTTGTGGTAATCTGTTGTGCTGTCAAAAATTTAAAAACAATTTTTTTTCAAAAATGTAACTGTCAGTTCATGTATTTTGTTGTGTCTTACTCATTTATCATTCTTTGTGACACATGAATGATTAATTATAGATGTCATAAAACATGTCTGTTGCTTTCTTGGAAATGTATGAAGTACCGGGTACAGCTATTACATCTTTGTTTTATTAATTGGGTGCTCATTATTTTCACAAATGTCTAAATTAGTAAATGGTCTTGGTTACAAAGTCAGTTTTATGTGAAAACTGCAAAGAGGTAAATTTGATTTTTCTTTACATTTTGTCATTGGATTTGCATACTTAAACAAACTTTAAAAGAGTCAAGACCAAATAGAGATAATTGAGCCAACAAATATGCGAGCAAGGCTGTTACAAAAATTCGGTCATCCATTGCACTGAACACTTTTTGAACGTCGTAACGGGTCAAAATGTTTGTATCTCAATAATATTATCAATCCTGCAGCAAATTTAATCATTTGGGACTTTTTTTTATATAAATTAGTATGAATGTTGCTCAGATTGCAGTTTTATTCCAATAAATTGCTAGACCCAATAGGGGTGGGACAGGAGCACCTTTGCTTAGCCAAATTTATTTATTTTGGACATCAACCCAACTTGGTAGGTATGTTGATTCATGTTACTTTTCAAGATTTGTTCAAATAAAGTAACTTAATGGTTAATCTGGCACTATTTATAATTACCTGTACCTTTCTTACAAATACCATGTACATGCATGTTCTTAATAATCTTTTATTGCAATTTATAATGTTCCGAGGTCTCCATATTTAATCAGAGAGTCGACTCTGATGTAATTGACAAATTGATAGTTCATGTTAAATGCATATATAGATGCAATAAATGAAATGTAATGTCTTTTAACGTCTCGCTAACACAATACTTTGGTCATTTTGATACTATGTGGTCTAAAATATGTGCTTTAGATCATCAGGTCTGCCCCAAGCTTGTACGTGAGAAGGAGTAGGGTTGCCTGTCCAACCCTGTGTTTTTTCCTCTTGAGTTCTCTGATTTCCTCCGACTACTAATGTCTCTTACGTGAAAGCGAATTATTAAAAATAATTAAAACCATATGCAAGTCCCAAAATGATCTAGTTTGTGTTGATTGGACATCAATGTATTCCAATCCTGAAATTTTGATGAGTTTTTTTAGCTTATAGTAACTGTTTGGATGACTTAGCTGCTGGTGGGCATGTTTCATTGACGGGCAACTTTTTTTCTTTGGTAAATATTGAACCTTTTATCTCAAATAAATTTTATACAAATAGATTAAACTGAAATAAAGAAGTAAACATATACAGCATTATGTCCTTCAAAGAGAAAAATCTATGTTAGATTAAAAGTCAACTTGTTAAAGAGTAGCCTACACACCATTTTGTTTCATTCGTTTTATATACAGCAGAAAATTAAATAGTGTTTTATAGTCCATGCACATACTGTTAATCACAGTTTGTAAATACAAAATATTTATTTAAGTAAAAGCCAAATAAAGTAATTAAGACTAGCAATGGTTCAAGTATATTTGTCATGTTTCCACAATAATGATTTAGGCTCTTTAGAGTCGTCTAAGAAGTGATTCTCCTGGTCGTTTTAACGGCTTGATTGCCATTTTATTGACAACACACAAAAAGATCCAGTGACTTATGGACTCTTGCCGTTAATGGTCTCTAAATAACTGAAAACATTATGTATTGTTTTTACGAGCTGTTAAACTCAAGTGGTAATTGAGGCTGTTGATATAGTAATTATCAACATATCTTAACAAAAATCTCGAAAAGTTCTCCTGATAAGGAAAAGGGAGGAGTTTTGTGTTGTTTAGTACATGAGGAATGATAATAAAAGAAGAGTTCACATTGAAGAAGGACCAATGCATGAATTACAAACGTGTTATTTTTGGTGGTGATTTGGTGTAATAATACATGACTTTCAAAGAAGGAGTTTTTCTGCATGTGGAGAGAGTTGTCTTCATCCAGAGTCTAGTTTTGATTATTTGTTTATCGATAGTGAAGTCGTCTGTATTTTTAGATTGTCCACATCTGTTTACTAGTGGACTTGAGTGTATTGGTTTATCTTGTCAATGTTTGTTATAGGCTGGTCAAAGTGTGGATAGCAAAAGACGTACCAAATAATTAAGGTAAGATCATTCATTAAGAATAAATTTCAAGATAAAAGAATCCTATCGTTGGTCCTATCGTTAGAAAATGCAAGAATTGTCTTTTTATTCTTTAAAGATTTGAACATATTGAAAAATCCCAAGAAAAAAGCTGTGTACTTGGCTGTTTCGTAGTTCATTTTGTTGTAGTATAGAATTGTTCATATTATTCTAATTCTATGCCTCATTTTTTTTTCAAAAGACTGTAAACCTCTGGTAAAATTTTTAAATGTTGGTTTTTGTTCTTGTCTTTAATCTTCAAACGGAGGCGCATTTTTCATTAAAAATACTCCTTTAATTAATTTTTTGGTTTTTGAGTTTTGTTTGAAATCTAGGATCAGACACTGATAAGTACAGGATGTTATTTTTTAATATTTACATCAGGAAATCCTTGGTTGTTTTGGTGATAACATTTCACTTGTACAGTGAGTTGGTTGTGTGAAGTTTTCTTTCACAGAAAAAAATTACCAATCATCATAAATACCTGCACAAAGAGATGCAGTCCTCCTGCACTTATTATTACTATGTGTTTCTTTTAATATGGGTCATAAAAAGTCGGGAGAGACTATGTCGCCACCAATCCACGCCATGTTCAGGGTACATTAGTACTAATATTTTGTTAAATGGGCTGGCTTTCTTGAAGTATTTTGGGAGGTATACTGTTTTAGGGATGACTAAAATACATATCAAGGAATTATCTGTTCAAGTGTCCTGTAGGATATTTTGCCTTTTCTGTGACTTTTTTAATGATTAATTAGGATCTCAATGTTGAAGAAATAAAACTTATATTAAAAGCATAAAAATTAGAATTTATTTATCACAAGCTTCTGTTGATACATTTTTGTATGTTCCAAGGTCAATAAGATATGGTCAATCTTATTTCATTAAAGATATGTTATATTTGATATTAATATCTACCTTATCAGTCCGCCATACAACTAGCTTCAACTACTTCACAATAGACCGATAAATTGGGTGGATTTTGAACAGGTTAAAATATGATATCCATTTATATCTGTTGACACCTTAGATTGTGGTCAGAAGTGCAATAACATAACTATTTTTGCAGAATATAAAATGGCAGCTTTTGTCTTTTATATGAGAGTATTGCAGGGCTCACACTGGCTTTCAATTTTTTTCTGCCAAAATGAATAATAATTTTTATATAGAAAAATGTTCATATTTTTTTTTCGACAACTTGAATATTGTATCTGCCAAAATGTGTGATAAAAAAGACAACATGAAACAATTTTATTTCTCGGGTAGGCCTATTATAAAACAATTACTGATATATACAACAAAAATGTTTCTACATAACATATTAGCACAGTTTTGTTATGATTTATTAAAATCAGATTTTATTTTGGTGACTTTAGTCTTTTCTCACACCGTATTGCACAATATATTATCAGTATTTACACATCAAATCTCATTCCATTTCTATAAATTTATGTTTTGCGTGTATGATAGGCCTATTGTTATTTTTAGGTACCGCAACAGTATCTGAATCTCTGGTAGAAATTTAATTTTCATTTGTAAGAGATGCTTACAATCAAACTAATTGTTCTCTTTAGAGCATTATGGCGGCGGTAATGAAACAAATGGTGGACCATCTTCTCACCCGAGAATCGTCGCTATTGGACTCGTTCTTAGGTTTCTAACCATTGGTGGTAATGTTATTTGAAATGATAAATCCGTTTATACATGCCGTATGAAGCCACAGTAAACGGAATTCAACTATTAAAATATGTAATTCTCTTCGAAAATAATTGTCGGCCATTTTGATTTTTTCCATTTTGTTTTATTTAAAGACAAAACAAAATATCATATAATCACCGCTTGGATTAATTATTAGGAGTAAATAATGACTTGAGATAGACTCTATATAGATCAAGATCATTGGCAATTATCAATCAACTAATCATTAATCTGAGACAAATGATTAGTATTACTCATTGACACGATCCAGATTATTAGCGAGTTGATTAATTTATAGTATGCCGCCGCCGCCAGTTCTCAAAAAGAATTGCTAGTACCCAAAAAAGTAATTTTTTATCACCACTTTCATATTTGGCGACCAATAGCGTGAGCCCTGGGGTACAGTATAAATATTATCATCAATCTTAAATGCAATCATCTTTGAAATCCACAAATAGTATGTGGACTTTGCCAAAGTGATTATCATTACGTTTTCATGATTTTATAGTTGATCCTTTTTTTTAATTAACCCTTTGGCATTCATGGATTAAAATGACTTATTTTAGAATTAGCCAAAACCAAAGTATGGGTGGCGTATATGGAGAAAACACTATATTTCTCAGGTGCCAGTTAACTCATCCACAAGCAAAGTCGTCCACAGCCATTGGTTAAGTCGTGGTTATGTCGTCCACAACTAATGGTTTAGTCTACAACTAATACTTGACTCATAACTAATGGTTAAGTCGTACACAACTAAAAGTACTTGACTCGTACACAGTTTAAATGTATGGAATAAATAAGTTTTACTCCTTGATAAAGTATACTCGTAACGTTTGTTAATTGGCGTTAGGATTTTAATGTTTAGACAGCATTTAATTGACTTAATATGAAATCTGAATATAAATTATTCGATGGATAACTTTTGTGATAAGATTAGATTATGATGTCTAACATCGTTGATCTTCTTTATAAAAAGGTATTTTACAATTACATGCTTATAGAGAATAGTTTGGGATATCACTTGGTTAAGTATTACAGGGTTAACAAAATTACCGGTAAAACGCTAATTGTTAGGACCGTCTTCATTTGCCACATGGCCTATTTTTACAAAGGCAACTTACTGGATCTACTCCCTGTGTACAGCCAGCTAGTATATTTATGGGATCATCAAATTGCTTGTGGATGAGTTAACTGACATTCTATTTCTCATGCTGCAGGTATAACGCACACCTTTTTGGATTTAATAAATGACTTGTACATCAGAACCATCTTCATTAGCCTGGTCAGGGCAGAAAAGCAGGATATTATTATTATACCCCATTCTATTTCATTTATAGTTATTAATTCACAAATAATCTATGACTGCAAGTCTCTTCCTAGTTTTCAAACTTAAATAATCCTTTGTTCCATAAGATGACAATCTATGGGTCACACTTCACGAAATATTGATTTTTGTCCGAGACCAGTTATAAAGAATTCAATGAATAATTAGATGTCACAATAAATGAAGTTTTTGAGAAGATTTAAGTATTAATTTGCAGCTAGAGTAATCACACGATTCAATCTTGTGTTCAAGTATCTGTTTCCCCTTTCCTAATTTAGTGTAGAAGAGATTTCCATTTTCGACTTTTAAGTAAGTAGTCTGAGCTATTTTAGGATCAATTTTGGTCAGCAGGTCTCAATTTATAAATTCTGAGTAAATTTATAGAGTTGGGACATTTATCTACTATTTTGTAGAAGAGCAAAATGAAGTTTTTTATGCACTCATATCACACTGACTGAAAAAAAAAAATCCTTTAGTTTATAGTTTGCAATCTATTCTTTTTTGGGGAGATAAAATGACACAATGCACAATGAGAGAAGAATAGGCAGGGACATACAGAAAAACAATCAGATTCTATTTAGTTAGCTGTAAAGCTGGGCTTAGATTGCACTTACAGCTTAAAATGAAGAAAACAAGTTTTAATTGGGCTGGGGGAACCAAAAGAAAAAACACATCAGGGAAACAATTTGGACAACATAGGTGCATTTAAAACTAGTTTTTGACCATACGCAATTACTTTCAGATAGTGTTTCATTGTTTTTGTTGAGTCTTGAATGCTCTACTATTCTGATTGCAGACAGTTTTTCGACCTAGCTAATTGGGATCTGATTTTCAAATTAAGTGATATTACCATGATCATGTGAAAGTTTTGTACTTTATATGGCAATACTTGTGAGCCATGTTACTGGTGAACACAGTTACAATAGTTTTATCAGTTTTTACCCATTATCTGAACTAGTTGTTGTTACTGATTTTCAATTGTCTTATCGTGTTGGCAGGCACCATCAACACAGCTTTAAATATTAAATTTTCTTTTGTTATTTATTTCAAGCCCAGCTTGCCTCGGACTTCAGGATAACTTTTTTATTCTTACATTGTGCTTGATTCTGTTAGTTTTCAACCCCAAAAATAACTTGATCACTTTGTGGTTATTTTCTTGGTCAATATTCAGGAATGATTCTCAAAATGACATAAAATGTATGTTATTAAAAAACATGTTATCTTATATCGAACCGTGTTATAGTTAATAAAAGGTTTTAGATTTTGTAGAATGTCTCTGATAGAAGTCTTTGAAGGAAGTAATGGTAATCAAAATGAGTTAGCCTGCATGTTCAGATGTTATATTGTCCAATTTGAGAAACAAAGATTTTACAAATAAATTTGTTTCTATCAAAAAAAAGAAGAAAAAAACTGTGCCCCAAGATATGAAAACGGCAGATAATGATTCTAAGGCTGATTGGATAAGAAATAATTCCATATTGAATAACAAAAACTAGTAGTATATATATTATATGTATCCTATATCAGAAAACATTTTAAAGGGTAGCAGTCATGTTATAATAATTTGAATGTATAAAACAAGCCATATTTGTGTTTAATGTAAATCAATTTTCACAGCTATAAATGAGGTATTTATCATTTAGTCAATTTATTGTAATATTATTATTAATTTAAAGGGATATTGCCAGATAAATTGTGTTTAACGATGTTTTGTGGCATGGTGACAAAACCTGATGTTGTGAGATGTCACTGTCCCAATAATGGCAGTAGAATGATTTTCACACTTTATGTTTAATATGTATATGTAGATAGATATCCCTGATTGTCCAGGCAGTAGTTATTTCAAACTTTGTGTAAATCTATTGCTGATGACTTTAAATTTTGAAATCTAATATGAAGTTAAAGTGAAAGATATTAATATGAAATGGGCCCCTTACTTCCGTCCTGTTTTGTTTCTAGA